CTCATGTAGGGTCATCAGGCACCGAGATACCACTGTATGTGGAATAAAACCTGTATTCAAGGTTCAGTTACTTCTCAACACTGATCCTGATAGTCTGCTCTTAGGAGAAGTTTTCTTCACTGTGACCACACTTTTGCATACTCATGACCATGACAGAGAGCTCAAAATAATGTATTGTAGCTGGAATTCTTGAAGACTTTGTCTCCCATTCCTAGGACATCAGTTCCTGTTTTCCTTGTGCTCTTAGTTTTATTTCATCAGCACCTTGCAATTTTGCCTGTACTCAAGGCACTATAGAAAATACCTTATCCTAAAGACTTCAGAGACTAACCAGAGAAAACTGACGTGAAGAAAGATTAGGTAAGTTAATAGGCACGTGGAAAAGTGATGTGGCTTGCTGAAAGTCATGCAGTAAGGCATGGCCAGAACACTGAAATATAGTATTTCACCTGCTTTTTTAATGCTGTGATTCCACCAACTGGACTCTGCCATCTTCAGGCCACTGACTAGCACGTGATCTACATCTATCTACACCACCATCTTCACCTCTGTCTTTGGAGTGTGAACCCTTGGAATGTTTCGGAAACACAGGGAAACCAGGGCTGGTGAATTCAGAAACACAGGGAAACCAGGGCTGGTGAAGGATAGTCCTGAAGATAAGTACCCAAATCCCTTCAAACCCGACATGGCTATTCTTCACCAAACTCTCACACACACTCATATATGGGGCTGCAGCCACTGAGCCCTGCGGGATGAAGTTTCCAAGCATCACAGACTGGACATACTGGTAACAGAAATGTTTATTTATAGGAGATACCTGTGATATATATTTTCGAGCAAGGGAATGAAGTCTCTACCTTCAGTTTACACCCATGCACACGCATACATACAGCTCAACAGTACAGTCCCTATCCACCAGCATCATTTGCCTCTATTCTTGAACTACCACCATCATCACAGACAATAAATATGGTATATGAAGGAACCAGATATTTTAATGTGCTAGTACTGAGCTTGGAGAGAATACTCGTTCTGAACCTTCTCCACCGTCTCACAATTGAAGACTTCAGGATTTGAATCACGATTATTAAAGCAATTGCAAGTGTCCTGGTTTGCAGCCTTCTCTGCTTTCTTCTGACTAGGAATGGGAGCATCAAAATGCCACCAGCCAGGAAAATCAGATTCCTCTGAGCCTTCATGGTAAGCTGAAAATTGTCATCTTCAGCATTCAGAAATTTATGCATGTATCTCTGGTATTGAATCAAAAACCATAGAATACAAATGGTAAGAAAAGGAAGCAAATCTACCAGTGTCCTTGCAATACAGTTGTGGTCAGAGGCCCAAAGTATGCAACATTAAATGTGGTGTCACCCCTCTCATAAAAAAACAAACTTTCTGGTCACCTACACTGAAGTCCCAACCAAATGACATCAGCAACACATATATATTAAATAAAGTGCTTTATTGCAGTATCAGATAAAGAATTCTTTTCTATGAAATTTTGAAGGAATAAAAGACATTTTATATATATTATACATATAAAATAATAAACTTAAGGAGGGAAACTAAGAGATTAATCCCTTAAATAGCAGTGGACTGGACAGAATCTTTGATGAAATATAAAAATAAATGCTTCACCTCTACTTTTCTTATGGTGTTCTGCAAAGCCTCTTGGTGTATAAGGTGCTTGTATGAGGAACAACACTGCTTCTTGTTTCTCTTGCTCCAGATTGTACCTATGTCTTCCAAATCGCAGAGACAGCAAGGGCAGAATAACCACTTGGCTCTCAACCAGGTTTTAGTGGGGGACTCAAGGCAAGCAAGTTTTCCACCTGCTCTTAGACCGAACCTGCATTTGTTGCAGAAATTGCAGTTTCATTTTTTGGGGGGGCATGTTGGCTGGCATATTCATTATATGACTAGCCAATGTAACAAAAGAAATTGGCTGACCTACTGAAAGTCTTTCCAAAGAGCCTATTTACAGAGTTCCTGCATCCATGTGTAGGTCCAATACTGGATCCATGTTTAACGGGAAGTTATTTTAAAGAAGTGCATGTATTGATTCTAAACAAGCTTCTCTGACAGTATTTTGATGGTGCTGGTGACATTTGAAATGGGAGAGGGAAATATGAGGATATCCTATTGGATGCCAAAAGATAACAAGCTCATCCTTCCATAGCTTCAGCCACTCAATCTGTCGGCTTTCCGTAGAGACGTCCCCATGGCTTCCTCTGTGAGGCCCCTTGCGCTGGTGACAAGCCCTGGGAACCAGGCCGCCTGGTCACTCCACTCCCTCATTATCACCTCCTTGTGAACTCTCTCTTTAGAGCAGCCCTGTCAACAAATGACCACTTGGGCTAGAGAGCATGTAACGGTCACTGATATTTACTAGAATCTAGGTCTCCATCCATGCTTATTTGGTCACATCATTCTTTTCATGGTTCTTTTCATCTTAGACTGCTTGCTTTTCGGGAAAGGGACCATGCCTGACTATGTTTCAATAGCACCTGTAACTTGGGTCTGTGGCTGTAAGCTGTGTAATAGTTAAACAAGATAGTTTCATGAATACTTTTTTTTACCAGCAAAGTCCTATACACTGATGACCAAGGATGCAATATTCTATAAATAACAAAGGCAAAAGGATTAACAGATACAAGACAGTCCCAGAAAGACACCCCACAGATTGGATATTTACTGGCCCTGGAGAAATCTGTTCAAATGAAGACAGAAACGGCACAGAACAATCCATCTTTTGAACCTAGGCAGAATGCCATTGCATTTAATAGCATTCTTCAAGGAAAAAAAAAAAACAGAAAGATGAGTAACCAACCACCTTGGTTAAAGTTTGTAATGTAGAAATTATTCCAGCCTTCCTTATATTGACCTCCTCTTTTATTTCTTCTACTGCATTGAATTTGCTAAATGAAAGTTATGAGTGGTTTCTGTCAGGTTTAGCTACACAATATCCAGAGATGAAGATGCTCAGCTTAGTTTATCTGTGGGAAGTTTGGGAGCTGTGAAACTCATTCCCAAAATGTGCTAGGAGAAAACTGCCAAGGACCTGTGAAAAGCTGGAAGAAACAGGCAACACCAAGGTGGTGGTAGAACGCCACAATCATGATCTGCAGACTCCAAGAATTGCCATCTTTGTTAGCACATGCACTTCTTCGTCAGTTGGAGCCACTGTGATGCAGCCCAGACTTGGATGTGTCTCCTGTGACACATCAGCTCTTCTACATGGTCACCCTCCTGTGACAGCAACAGCAATGCAGCTCTGCAGGGAGAGCTGCAACTGCCCTAGGGCTCTCCCAGCTGCACAGGGCACGACGCCTGCACGGAGAAGGAAGCACCCGAGCGAAGAATGACCCTCCACAGTGAGACGTGAGGGAAGAATGGGGAAAACAGAGGCTGGGAAAACAGAGGCTATCTGGAAAGCTCTCTTGCTGTGGGTAAGGGAGGAATTAAATCGCTTCATGCCTTTCCTTGCTCCTGCAGCTGTCCTTCTCACCCTGCACCTGGCATTGCACTAGGAAAATTGTCCCAGGTGCAGAGATTGACAGCAGATGCTGAGGCAGCCCAAGTCTCACAGGTGCATCTCAACCATGGGGCAAGGAGGAAGAAGGATGGTGTGAGTGTGTGAGTACAACTTGCTTTCTCTGGGTTGCTTCTTGCTGGGAGTCTGGGCAAATATACTGTGGAGAAGGGCCAGAGTGCTGACCAGTAGACTGGAAGTAAGGTAACATTTGATGCTCACAGTGGAGAGTGGTTTGTTCCCATCACCATGGGGAGCTGGCCCCTAAGATCTAATGAGAGTAGAAAACAGCTATGATGGGCATTACAGTGGTCCCCCAGCCATCTGCTGCCACATGCTTTTGCAGAGTGGTAGCCTATTGACTAAAAGGAATCAGTCTGAGGTCAAATCCCTGCTCCCTAAAATCACCCATGATGAGCTGTAGTAGGAGGACTGTGTCCCAGCCATGGACAGTCTGGTGAAAGGTGCAGGGGTTCCTGCTCAGCGTTGGCTTGTAAAGATGAATGGGAACTCTAGGATGAAACTGGGAAGCAGGCCCTGAGCAGCCCCACTCAAGAAGGACACAGGCTCTAAGTGAGCTGCTATGCTGTAAGACTATCACACACTGGGTGGCCAGATGGGTACTTCAGGCTCAAGGAGGAGCACGAGGACTTGACCAGTCTCAGAGATCCCCGGCAAGAGGGGATGCAGCTTGTCTGCTCCCTTCAGCCAAAACACTGTTTTCTTTCATGGCCAAAACTGCTGTGTCAAGGTCATCTTGCTAAAGGAGCCCAAGCAGTAACTTTCCTTTTGTCTCGCTCACTTTCAGGAGCCCAAGAAACCCTCTCGGGTCTCTCTCTGTTCCTTCTCAACTGTGGATGCGAAAAGCTGAGGAGAGGAGAGGTCCCCACTCTATGTATTACTGGAACAGCCCCATTGAGAACCACCCCCATGTTTTAGAATCCAGCCAGTCCAAGCCAGGCCAGGTGTGCAGGCATGACCAACCAGCTCCTCCTGCACCCAGCCAGCTCCTCAGATGCAGTGTGAAGCCAACACAAATTGAGGCCATTTCATCCTGCAGATCCTCAGCTCGGGGCTTGCACTGAAAAATTGCAGAGAATGCTTTAGAAAAGTGTAGAGGGGAAGAGCCCTCCTTTTACTTTTCATTCCTCACTGGCTCTAATTTGTTCAGCTCCCCCCTCAGCAGCCCAGGGAACCCCTAGATTATGAGGTAGCCCAGGGAAGTGATGGTGTGAGATCTTCCTCCCAGGTGGCATGGAAGGGATCACCCAGCAATAAACTTCCCCACCCTTGGACATCAGAAAGGAGCCAATGAACCTTTCTGAAAAGAGAAGATGGATGGTAAATCCTCCCTGCTCCAGCTGGCACCAACAAAGCCTGTGAGCAGGACCCTGGGCTTTGCTGGGCTGCTGCATTCCCAAGGAAGGGATACACAAGAGGTGTCTGCAGCTATTATAGCCTGCTGGCCTGGGCTGCTGTAAGAATCACCAGCTCCCAGGGGCTCCCCTGAGGTTGTGTGGGAGACCTGCTGCCCCGCGGCTCCTCTGAGCATGGCAAGAGCCTAGTACTCCTTGGCCTCCTGCAGCTGGGAGAGGTACTCCTCCTCGGCAGGGTTGTCAGCGCACTGCTGCCCGTTGTTGGGAGGCCGCACAGCATGGTACCGGCTCCAGTCCCCCTTGCAGAGGATCCAAGGCAGCATGTCCACTTTGTAGTGCAGCTCCGGGGAGAACTCAGTGCTGATGAGATTAGGGACTCCAGCCCCTTTGCCCCGGGTGATGAGACGGGTGTGCTCGTCATAGCAGCAGTGCTGGGCAGCAAGCGTGGTGCTGTCCAAGGAGAGCATGGAGCGCAGGCAGAAGCGGGCCGTGGGCTTGTAGATGTCCAGGCGCTCCTTGGGCCCACTGGCGTCCCGCCAGCGGAAGCTCTTGCCCTGGCGCTCATCCCGCAGGTTCACGGCACTGTAAACCGCCTCCAGCGGGTAGGAGCAGGGACAGCTGGGCAGATCTGTCAGCACCTTGCTCAGGTACTTGGTGAGGAAGTCACTCTTGCAGTTCAGCCACTTCTCACAGCTGTCTACATCTGAGAGGAAGCATCAAAAATAGTAAGAGCGGGATCAGCCAGGCCAGTTCTGTAACTAGCTGGCTTGTAATCTAGTCAGCAATGTCAGGCAAGCTAGCAACCACTAGACAGAAGCTACCAGGCTCCTTTGTAGAGCAGGTGCTGATGGAGGCTGACCAGAAACATCATCTTGATCAACACCACAGCTAAGCTTCGGGAGGGAACACGGCAGGCTGGTTTCAACCAGCACACCATATTCCATCCTTGAGGGCAGCGGCAGAACATGAAGGAGTTTCCCTCCAAGGGATAGAGTTACCCCTGGCAAGGAACTCTGGCTAGGGCACCCACCGTCAGCCACTCCTGGAGGTGGGCAGGCAGCATCAACACTACAGCTAAGCTTCAGGAGGGAACACAGCAGGCTGGTTTCAACCAGCACACCATAAAATAGGGCTCTGAGGGTAACTGCGTCTACCAACACAACTAGCTACAACACTGCAGACTGCATGGGTTGGTGAAAGGACCTAGATTCTGATACCAGACCTGAAAGCCCTTGGCCAGAGCACTCCCAGGTAGCCAGTCATATGCCCCATAAGGTATTGCACAGAAAGCACCCAGATCCCAAGTATGGGGAAGAAGCAAAGGCTGACCTGAGTTGAACAGCTCGGTGGTATTGTCACTTTTAAAAGGAGTCTCCTCTGTGGGGAAGGTCATTTCTCCCTCTGCTCCTTTACAGAGAAAAGACAAAGCAAAGGGCGAGGGTGAAAATCAGGAGAGGTGACAGAGTCTTTTTCTACTCTATCAGGGTAGCAGATGCTACCCTACCAACCCCTCCCTCTTTCTTGCTTTTGATGACACTGCCCCGTGCATGGAAGGTCCAACAGAAGACATGCAGGACAAAAAGGCCCCAGAAGGGCCTAAATCTGTGGGTTAAACAAAGCCCTGTGAATGGAGCTGGCTCACAACAAAGCTGCAGGGACAGACATCAAGATCTCGCTTTATGAACCATGTGCTATGGAGCCCCACCAGGGCTTCTTAACAGAAACAAATGGCCATTTTCATTAATCAGGATCGCAATACTTAGGCAGTTCTTGAAGCATGAGCAGTGCCAAGAGAAGAGGAACTGGGCACTTCAATCCTGGAGAGGGTAATAATTACAAAGCCCGATGTGTGTATTTCTGGAACAAGCATCTCCTTGTTACCCCGTTAACAGGAGATCTCCCTGAGACGATGTAGCCTGTGCCCTGCGTAGCGCTCCCTCCCCATCCCAGTCTGCTCTGCCACGACGTGTGCACCACCAGCTCTGTGCAGAGGCTTGGATGACACCCAGCAGATGAAGGCTGAGGCTAACCAGGGCAACGTGGCAGGTCACAGGTCCTCGACTCCGTTGCTGTACAGGCGTAGCCACAGGACCGGGTCCTCTTCTGATTGCCACTGCCGCAGGTGATGCTGCAAGGGGACCAAGTGCTCCATTCCTCCTCATCTTCATAGTCTGGGACAGGCAGAGAGCAGTGAATCTTGTATAAAGACTTAACAGGAGAGGAACCTGAAGCCATCCAGGATCCCTGGGGCCAATTTCAACTCCTGCCTTGTTCCTGAGAAGATCTTTAGAAGCAAACATGGCCAGTGCTGCCCAGAGCACCTGGATGGACCCCAAGTTACCCTGCCAGGCTTTACCACCAGCCTCATGATATTCCTGAAAGCCCCCAAGCTGCTACACTCCTGGGTCTGCCCCCCTGTCCAGCACTGAGCTCCCAATGCTCTGCAGTTCATCTCTCCAGGACGTGTCCAGGCTGCTTCAATTTTAGTGACACTTGCCACATTTAGACCTTATTTCAAGTCTGAGTTTGCCTTTACTAGAATCTGTACTCTGGTCTGATTATGTGCAAGGGAAATCCCTGCTGTGACATGGGAATTTGTGGCTGTCTGCAGGCTCAGGCAGATGCTGGGCTTGCTCACCAGTTTACTTGCTTATTTTTGTAAACAGAGGCTGAGCACCAGGATACTCTGATTCTCTGCAAGGATCTGCCTGGATCCTCTGGATCCTCTGCCTGGAGTCCTCTTTTGCTGCGCCTTTCCTAGCAGCACAGGGGGCTGTGCTCAGACTGGGCAGGGGAGGGCAGGGTGGCTGCTCACTGCGTGGGGCTGAGGGGACTCACCGTAATTATATTTTTCCTTAAAGATCCAGTTCTTCTGCCCAGGCCACCGCTGGTCCCAGTCACCTCCCACTCCACTTAGCATGGACTCCTCCTCCTCATCATACTCCGACATGTAATCTTCCTCTTCCTCCTCCTCTTCCTCCTCCTCTTTGTCTCTTACATCTAGGTTGTCATCCTCTTCTTCCTCCTCCTCCTCCTCCTCTTCCTCCTCAGCAGGGTCAGTGTATTCCCAGAAGAGGGGCCAGAACAGGTCCTTGTGGGACAGCCACTCAGAGGATGTCAGGGACCAGTCGTTCCTTGTCTCCTTCAACAAGTCCATCTCCATCTCAGCCTGAGGATCGTCCACTACTTCAATGGTCACCTGAAAAGTAAGACGCAGGCAGCGCAGTTAGCCAGGACACAGCCAACTGCCCAGCTGCTGCACATTCCCCAAAGCAGGGAGGACCCTTCCAGCCTGTGCACTGATTCCTAGCCTGAAAGATCAGGGCTGTGTTGGTCTATGGGACTAGCACAATGGACATGATGAGTCTTACCTCCTGTCTGCCATTTGGAGGGACTGAGGAGGGTCAGAGTGAGAGGTACCAATTGCAGCAAACTCAGCAGGTTGGTAAAGTGTCTGGTAGTCACTGAAGCAGCAGTGAGCATGTAGATACAACATGCAGAAATGGAGAGGATGTCTCCTTGGGGACTCCCACCCTTGCTCTATGGAGAGGGGCTTTGGATGGCAGGGAGAAAGGGCATGAACAAACTCCTTCTAAGGGAGTTTAGTGATCAGTGCCAGCTGCTTGCGCCTAAGAGGTATTTACCAAGATACATGGCAGCAGCCACATGTAGTCTAGGAAATGAACCCTTGCTCATACAAACATGCCTGTTAGGGAACCAAATAAGGCAGCAAGGGAGTGCAAGCAGTGGCTAGCACACAGCACCCCCAGCCTGCCCAGGCCTGCTGCCCACCTGGATGTTTGGGTTCTGGGCGCTCAGGTCGACGTTGGCCAGCCCTGGCAGGCTCTGCAGGTCCAGCACGAAGGGCAGGCTCTCCTCCTGGCCAGTGCCGCCGGGCTGGGGCACTGCTGGGCTCCTGGTAGCCTGCTGAGCCGCCCAGCGGCGCCTGTGCCGCCGTGGGCCAGCCTGCCCGCTCCGCCTCAGGCCCCGCGCCTTGCCCGATGGCGCCAGCTCCTCGTCCCCGGCCGAGCGAGGGTCAGACGAGGCAGACACCTGGACAGGGAAGAGGCAGTGAGGACAGGTGCCTGGCTCCACCAGACCTCTCGTGCTAGGAGCAGGCACCTGGCAGCAGGGAGGAGACCATCCCGCTGGGTCCCGCCGACGCCTCCTGGACCGGGGTGCAGTGCGGCCGTGCCAGCGGCGAGGAAGTGCCCGGGCCATCCCTGCCAAGTGGAGCAGCTCGCACCAAGTTCCCACGTTACTCATTTCTGCGCTCAGCACACGCTGGCATGAAAGGCCGTGAGTCAAAGGGACAGCAGGCTCCAGTGCATCCGAGAAACCGGAGACAGGAACAACTGGTAAAGTGTCTCCCTGCCACAGCCTGGGCCAAGGCAAGACCATGCCCAGGAAGGTTTGCAGGGCCCTAGGGCTTGACACTCGGAGCAGAGGTGCCTGAATTCACAGCATTTCCGCAAGCGCTGCTGGTGCTGCCGGCACTGCTTTGTTCCAACGCTCGCCCCTTGCGCCAGCCCAGGCGAGAGCGGTGGGATTAAGGAAAAGAGCGGAGCGCCCCTCCCCACGGGGGGGAGCAGAGAGGCATTTCTACCTGCAATTAGAGCCAGATGGCTCGGGAAGGACTCCCCTCCCTTTCATCCTGATCACTGGAGCACTTCAAAGGCGGCTGGAGCCAGGCCAGGCTCTCATGAGCACACACACAGGCCTGCCCGCTAGCCCTGTGCCCGCACATCAAAGCTCTGCTGCCCGCATCCCCCTCCCCCAGGGAAGGGAAAAGAGCAGCAGGGACACTGCTGGTCCCTTGGCCGCTGACCAGCGCCGGGCTGGACGCGGGGAAGGGTCTGTGACAGACTTCACCAGATGGGCCCTTGAAGAGAGGGAGGTTGCAATGCCTAGAGGGAGAATTTGAAGCTGCCTTCTCTCTCTAGCAAGGACGAGTGGCTTCCTCCAGCACCGCCGTGCAGCAGAAAGGTGGTAGAGATAGACCCCTCTGCCTGCCTCTTCCCCTTCTGCCCATTTGCCCTACTCAAAGCCTTGTCCAAAACCATGCAGAAGGGATGCCCAGCTCAGTGCTAGCCCTTCTGCCTCTGATGTCTCTGCTTCAGCCTATTGCCAGGTCTCCCTGCCCTCCCTCTCAGGCCCAGGGGCTCCCTGGCTGGGGGCAAGGAGGATATGGTAAGGAAGGACAGAACAGATGAGCTCTGCAAGGCAGGCAGCCCACCTCTGCCCTGTGGGGAGACCTGCTGCACACCGAGTGTCCTGAGCCCTGCTGTGTCCTGTCCTTGGGTGCATCGCAAGCTGCAAGAGCTCAAGGCGGTTGTATTGGTGCAAAACAAATGGCTAGTGAGGAGGAAGGGATTCAACCTAAGGCGGCAGAGCTCTGTGAAGGGTCACCACCCCACTTGGACTTGCTGGGCAGCACTATGCTCTGGCCTCTTCCCAGCCCCAGTGCAGGTTAGTCTCAGCAGCCTGGCCATGGTAGGTGCTGGTACCTCCATGGCTTCTGGACCTCCACTTTGCTGCGGGGAGACAAGTGAGGAGGTGACACTGCACTGGTGAATGGGGATGTGACTACGGGGTGCAGGCTTGGCCACTGATGACTGTGGACGCTCCCAGGATGCCATCCCAGAGGTGAGCATCCTGCCTAGCACAGAGCAGCTCGCAGCCTCGTGCTATGGACTATCCCTCCTAAAGGCCTCCAGCACCAGCCACCTTTCCAAGGACAAGGGGACGCAAAGAAGGCGATGTCCTGCACAGCCCACAGATGTGCTTTGCTAGCACCAGCCACAGGACATCGGTCACTAGTGCGAGGTTTGCTCCCAGTGGCATGTGGCACTCCAGACTGTGCCAAATGCAACCCCTGTAAATGGGAATGCCAATAGCTCTGCAACACTGGCATTCATGTATAATTTGCAATGAGCTTAACAAGGCTGGATAAGCTCATTCACAGACAGCTTCAATTTTATACACATGTAAACTGAGGTCTGAGAAATGAGATCTGAATTTACCCGAAGATGTCACAGTGACAGAGTGAGGAACAGACTTTGAGTCTCCAAACTTACACTCAGTGCCTAATTCAGATTTTACGCCTAAACAAGCTCAAGAAATTTGGAGTGCTGTTCCCACAAGGAAAACGTAGCCTGTTGCAGAGGAACTGGCTGAGAGGCTTAACAGTGCTCTCCTTCTCTGCCCACAAGCCCTCTGGAAGCACAAGGGCCCCTCAGCGTGTTCACGCTTGATAGCCCAAACTCCACCTCCAGCAATCTGGACCTCTGGCAAGAGGATCACCATCTGATTTCCAGCCTTCACAACATCTGCTTACACAGCCAGCTGTCCAGCTGTTGTCCGCCAAAGTGGCTTTGCTATCCGAAGTTCAGCAAGGAGCTTGACTGTGAAAAGCTCCCTGCCCTTTACTGCATGCCCCACTGAAGGGCTGCCAACACCCGTGCACCATGAAGACACTGCAATACAAGGTCTCATGGGCATAACTCTTTCAGTAATGGTCACTACACTGCACAAACCGGCTCTTCCCTAACGCTATCAAACACTTTCCTCTTTAGCTTCTCTTGGTTAATATTTGGCCTTAAATCAAATGTTTCTCCACAGCAGATTCCCACACCATGCCCTGCCCCAGCTTATCAAGCTCTCCTTTTGAGCTGTGGATCGCAACGAGGCCCAGGCGCTCTCCCCTTCGCTGCAGTCACTGCAGCGCGGCCCGCACTCGCTGCGCTGCCCTCGCTGCACTGAGGGCACGTTGGCCCTCGCTGAGGAGCTCCCAGCAGGGACACAGGCAGCCCCGCTAACCCTTGCACCACTGCCACGCAATGCCCATTCTCTTCTCAGGCTTGCATTAGAAACCAGCTGTACGGAGTCATCAAGCCCAAAGCTAACCTATTTTAGTGCAGTAGCTAATGAAAAAAGACAAGTTTGCCTGTCCAGAATGAAAATGATATTTCCCTGCTTTGCTGCTCAGGAGAAAGGATGCATTTGTTGAGACCAGTGGCTCCAAGCCTTTTGGTCCCTCTCAATCTCCATGTATGTCCCAGTGCCCACTCCCAGCCACTGGATCAGACAGCCAGTACAACCGTATACACAGAGACTGCAAATAAAACAAACCTCACCATCAATAAACCATTGCAAGGCTAACAGCAGCTCCCATCATTCTACCATTGGGAAAGTACTTTTCCCAGCAAACATCAGAAGCAGAAAGCATAGAGTCTGGAATTCATCAATATCTCATGGCTGCTTTCCTAGCCTTTTTCTGCAACCAGCCCGCATCAAGCAAAATAAAAAGCTGAGCAGGTAATTCCATCAGCCCAGCTCCGGTTCCTTTGCGTACACTTGATGAGCACAGCAATATCCTAACTGGCTTGGAGCAAAGGTTTTATGAGTCTGGAACCCGACCCTACAGCACTCTGGAAAGAACTTCAGTTTCCGTTTGCAAAAGCTCTGCTTAAACTGAAGGCAGTAAAACCAAATGCTCTGATCACACCTGCCTGTCTACTTGCCTTTCTGCCACTCCTGAGCCCTCCTCTGGATAGTCCCAGGCTCTACAGCATGTAGGACTGCCTAAACATTTCTAGGCACAAACTCAGCAAATCAGGAAGCGGAAGAAGCTGAATAGTAATTCACCCTAGCACCGTGTCTGCTTTGTACACAACAAGGACAACATAGAATATGGGAAAGGGCAGGGAGAATGCATGCCTTTTTGCTAAAGATGAAGTGCTGATGTTTTCCATTTCTAGTCCATATACCTCTATTAAAGTCATTTGGACATCTGAAGACAATGAAGAGAGCAGCTGTAAAAGCCTTACAAGTCATAAGAAAAATTTAACATTGAGAAACTTGTAGAATCCAATCTGTTTTTCATGATGAAAAGATAAAGCAATGACTTGATTTCCTGGTTCTTTAAGCAAATAACTAGCAGGCACCAGAGACTCTTTAATCCAGAACAGAAGCACATAACGGGATCCAACATTTGTGAGTCAAAAGCCCAAAATATTCAACTGAGAAATGGGAATTATGTTTTTAACGCAGTAGGTGATCAACCACAGGAACAAGCTAACAGGGAAAGCGGCAATATCTCTTGTGGAGACTGTCAGATGCAACTTACTGGGCTCAACATATATGTATAAGCATCTGTGCTATTGGTGATATTGAAGGGTCCAATGATTCTTCTGGTCTTAAAATCTGCAACTTGGCTATAACCTTGTTTAAGATTCTGAATCAAACTTGCATTAAAAAAAAAAGCTGTAGCTTTTACATAAAAATGATTAGACATGTCAGATCCCACAGCAATTCAAAGCCTGGAAACAGCAGTAAAACAGCCCTGTGCGCTGTGTTGTCTGATGGCAATCAAGAACACAACTTCTTTGCTGTCACAAAAAACAAAGATATTCGTTGCTTCAGCATGTTTTTCAGTATCATCCTATACACCAAACATTGCCATGCTCTTTATTTTAAACCCCTGCCAACACTACTTGTATCTACACACATTACTTAGCAGAGTTGTTCTTCACTATGGGGTTAAACCCAAGCTGCATATACTTGTGCTAACTCCCCTTAAGAGGGGAGCAATGCTGGAACCTGTGCAACAGGCTCAGAGGAAGCAGCTTCCACCCAAACCCTACCTTGAGTCAATTAGCAAGAACATAAACTCATTTAGCTTCAGCCAAAGGGAGCTGTGCATGCAGGAGTCAGATCAGAGGCAACATTTGGTTTGTACTTTGGGCTTGTTAACGCTGCAGTGAAGAAAATGACCTATCTGCTAACGGCCAGTGTAGCACTGTGGGATATAATTATAAGGAATGTGCTTTTTGTTGCTTAATTATTACTGCTCATGTTGTCATACTTCCTTCAAAATCATTCTACATCATTGTTCTGAAGCAAGAACCCAACCAGAAGAACTATTTATTTTTTGTACCTTCAGCTGAGCCTATATGTCTTCCTATTCTTCCCCCAAGCTCTCTCCAATATTTTAAAATGTTTTGCATTTTGTAGCAAACCTATCCACTTCTGAATTAGCTGAGTACAAAACAGAAAATATTTTTTTTCACCCCTGTATTTACCTAGAAAAACTACAAAGATGTGGAGCAAACTTTCAAAAGAAAATTATCTTTGATCTGAAACCAAGTGAGACCAGTTCCAGAGCAGGGTTTTGTTACAAAGCTACTGGAGTACGGGGGTGTTGCTTGTTTGCTTCAGAA